TGTGCAGACACACGTGTTGTTGGTGTGCAGACACACATGTTGTTGGTGTGCAGACACACGTGTTGTTGTGCAGACACACGTGTTGTTGTGCAGACACACGTGTTGGTGTGCAGACACACGTGTTGTTGGTGTGCAGACACACATGTTGGTGTGCAGACACAAATGTTGTTGGTGTGCAGACACACGTGTTGGTGTGCAGACACACATGTTGTTGGTGTGCAGACACACATGTTGTTGGTGTGCAGACACACATGTTGTTGGTGTGCAGACACACATGTTGTGTGCAGACACACATGTTGTTGGTGTGCAGACACACATGTTGTGTGCAGACACACATGTTGTTGGTGTTCAGACACACATGTTGTGTGCAGACACACATGTTGTTGTGTGCAGACACACATGTTGTTGGTGTGCAGACACACATGTTGTTGGTGTGCAGACACACATGTTGTTGTGTGCAGACACACATGTTGTTGTGTGCAGACACACATGTTGTTGGTGTGCAGACACACATGTTGTTGTGTGCAGACACACATGTGTTGGTGTGCAGACACACATGTTGTTGTGTGCAGACACACATGTTGTTGTGTGCAGACACACACATGTTGTTGTGTGCAGACACACACAGTCAGTGTGCAGACACACACAGTCAGTGTGCAGACACACACAGTCATTGTGACAATGAACCCATGAGCTGTTGATCAGCACTGATCAGTACCTCACACTATTGTACTTTAAGGAAATATGTGAATTACTTTTTACTTTTACTTGAGTACTTGGCTTGAGTAACAAAGTAACTGTGCTTTCATTTGAGTAAATGTCTGACTTTACCTCCATGACGGTACGAATCACTATACTCAGTATGTACGTCTTCAGCAGCGCTCCTCTGAGCCGAACCCGACCTGCTAACGGACCTTTCTCCTTTCCTTCATCCTTCTCTCCATTCCTCCCCGACTTGTCTCCTCCTTCTTCGCCTCCCCCAGGGTCTTCCTCTTTCCCTCCCCCGTCTCCATCGTCTTCCTCCCTGCTCCTCCTCCTCTCCTCTCTGCGGACGGTGTGCATGGCGTGGCCCATGTAGATCAGGCTTGGAGTGGACACAAACACAATCTGCAGCACCTAGAGACACATCAGAAAGATCTGAGACACTTTAAATAAATGTGGATTACTGCCAAAGGTAAAGAACAAATGCAGAAATAATTCTACATGTTAATAAAGTAAAGTCTGCATGTTTAAAACATTGGCTGAGTTTGGCACAAACTGTTTTTCTGTTCATTTATTTATAGCAAAATGACCAATGCCACAAAACATCTGAGAAACATGTTCTCTGTAGAGAAGTTATCTACACTTCAAACATTTGGCATCATTTTACAGTAAATCACACACAAGAACTGGCCAAAACTAAAAAACTATTTTTAGGTTCAAATGACCTAATCTTACCCTGTAAATGGGCAGTGGGCAGTGAAAACTCTGAGTAAGGTAATTCTGAGTTTAAAAAATGAAAAAAAAAAAGGTTCAGTGAAACTCTGGGAATATGGTAACAAACTGTGAAGTAAACCTTTCTGTCACAGTATCTGTGTGTTTTGGTTATTTGTGATCAGTGGCAGAGCCAAACATTTTTCTCAGCTGTGGCCAGACTGGGACCAGTACTCACAGGAAAATTACTTCATTTTTTACTTGAAAGTTTCTGAAGATCTTTGTGTTTTTCCTTATCTCCTCATACAGGCAGTGACTACCTTATAAACATGGATGCAGAACCATTTTAAAAGTGTGTGTGTGTGTGTGTG